TTTCAGTCTTAAAACAACACACACTAAATGCAATACCATCACAAACATTTGACAGCACCAAAAAAATTCAAACTGCAGCTTCTCATGGCAAAGTCATGCTCACTACTTTCTGGGTGAAGGGAATTCAGAATTTATGCCTGCTGGTGCCACCACGAATTCTGAGTGCTAGACTGGAATGCTGCAAAAATTGAAGGCACATATTCAAATCAAACATTTTGTCCTGATATGCACTAGGCTTTCCATGAACACAACATTGCGAGGCTTCACACAAGTGCACAAAATACTGCACAGATTCACAGCCTTCTTTCACTATCTTGAGACCATCCACCCTCCACCCCAATTTAGTTCCGCCTGCCTTTAGTCTCTTCCAAGAACTGAGGGAACATATGAGTGGACATCACTTCATGTCAGACAATGAAGTTAAGACAGCAGTGAAGGTGTGGTTCTCTCCACAAGATTTAGAATTCTATCTTGACAGACTCACAAAAGTACCTGGAAACTGGAGAAAGTGTGTGTGCCACAGAACAGATTTTGTTAAGCAGTAACTGCATAACATTAGAGAAGAAATTTCAAGAAAAGTACCAGTTTTTCTTTCATTTAAATATCTATACCCATTATGGAAAATCAAACACTGGAGGCACACTTTTCCACACACCCTCACACAATAAAGCACTGCTTAGGCCTCTGCAAATATAGGAGTTAGAACTGTGGGGAGAACTGTAAATGCAGCCAAGCCACTCTTGGAAATAAGTGAACATACACAATTTAGAGCTATCACGTAAATTCTCAGAGTAAAAGACAGGTAAATTACATTCATAATTGTGACATTGTGACACAAGGTGCTGGAAGAATATGATGGGCGAATTTCCAACAGCCAAAATTCTGGCTTCTGAAATGAGAGAACCCGTAAGGTATAAAGGAAGCAGCTGATCTGTGCACCAAATTTTAATATCCACTAGGCTCAAATAAATTACATACAATGACGGCAGAAAATTTTTAATAGAGAGTAACAACATTGCTGCTGCAAGGATTGTGTTAATGACAGCAATACATGAAATTAAAATCCCAGAACAACACATGAATTTATTATTTCAATGAGACATAAAAATCAGAATCACTCATGGACGTCATGCTGGCCGATGAATGACAGGATGGGGTAGAATTGTCCCAGTGTAGAACAGAAGTGGTTTCATAATACATCATACAGAGTTTCTACTAAAAAGCAAATTGGAATTTCAAACATTCATGGAATGGTTTCTTAAGAAATTCTTTATGATAACTGAGGTCCTAACTGGTGAGTGTTATGGACAATGCAAATCATTATTCCACTGTTTCGGACAAAGCGTCACCTACCCAGACAAGGAAGAATAAAACTGCAGCATGTCTTGGCAATAAAAATATAGCTCATTTCACAATACAGATATGAGCAGTTATTTGAGCTGATGAGAGGACATAAATTGAGGCACAAAATGTACATACCTGACACCACAGTTTGGGAACATTCATCCGCAAGCAGTATGTTCAGCACGTTTATACAGCCAGTACAATGCTACAGAAATGATATGGGCACAAGTAAGGGTTACAGGGCTGACAAAAGTACAACATCTACATTCAACAATACCAAGAATGGGGAAACTGACCACAAACCCATTTTTGGTGTGGGTCGACCGTGTGAGGCATGCAGGAATTATACAAGAAGAAATCCTGGAACCTATCTTCATCAATACAATAGAATCCTCATTATTACTGTTTTCTGGATTCTGTCAATTGCCCAGTGTTCTAAAAAACTAGAAACAAATTTCAGGAGCTGGTCATACTGCCATCCTCAGGTGAAAGCTACTATTCAGATGCATCTGACAGAAAGAACTAATAATCACTGAACATCAGCGATTTCTCTCTGATCTAAATGAACATGCAATCCTCACTCAAGGACAGCAGCACATCCAACTCCTGAAATAATGAATTTCAATTTGTTATAATGCTAAATGACTGCACAAGGAAGCTGGAATAGCATAGCCGGTATAGTGACTGGCTATGGGCTGGACCACTGAGGGGCTGGTGTTCGAGTCACAGTAGGGGTGAGAATTTTCTCTTCTCGAAGTTGTCTAGATCAGTTCTAGGGCTCACCCAGCTTCTTATCCAACAGGTACTAAAGCTGGGGCGTGAAGCTGACCGCTCACCTCCAACTAGTGCAGAAGTCAAGCAAATCTGGTTCTATACATCCATTCCACCATACACCTTCATGGCAGAGTGCTTAATTAGTTAAGCACAGGGACAACCTTAGATGACTGCACAAATTAAAAAAAGGGTGGGGGAGTGATACACCACAGTTAAATCCCCTTAAAAGTACAATCATCTGAAAACTGCAGCTCTCACTGCAGTGACAATAACATGATTTTGGATGATATAGATCTGCACTTTGTATCAGTACTAAAGATTAACATGTTGCAGACATTCAACTATAATTAGATGGTACTGCCTCAACAATGTAGGAATATAGGGTGTACTGCTATGGCATGAGGCGGAAACTTGGTTTCAGCCTTGGGCAGTACACAACAGTATTCCAGGCAGAAGTATATGCAATTAAGGCATGAATTAAGGAGAAACTAGATAGGAACTACAGAAATAGGAACATTTACATTCTAGCTGACTGCCAGGCTGCACTTAAAACGCTTGACAAACACCAGATCAACTCAAAATTGGTCTGGGATTGCCACCAAACCCTCTTGGAACTGGCCAAACATAACACGGTACAACTGATATGGGTGCTGGGGCATGAGGGTATTGCTGGGAACGAAACAGCAGATCAATTGGCTAAGATTGGAGCTGAACATCCGTTCACAGGACCTGAAACAGCCTGTGGCATCTCTATGGGAGTTGCCAGAAAGGCAATCAGGGACTAGACAAATATGAATCACACGAAATACTGGGGATCCTTGACTGGACTCTGACAAGCAAAGGGACTCATACAAGGACCCTCTGCTAAAAGAGCGAAGGAACTGTTGAAGTTAAACAGGAACCAGCTACAATGGGTGGTGGGACTACTTACAGGACACTGTCACCTTAAAGGACACCTCTTCAAACTGGGGCTAAGTAATATTCGAGGAAAATGAAACAGGCACACATATCCTGTGTGAATGTGAGGCCCTAACTTATTTAAGATTATGTCACTTGGGTCAATACTTTATGGAATCAAGTGACTATTTCGACGTCCCCTGCTCTTCATTCGAAGAGCAGGATTGCTGAGGGGATAATCAAAAGGGGAAGCACAATAGATCACTGCAGGTCGCAGTGCAAGGGCCGACAATTCCCACCCCATATACATTAATTCAATCATTCATTCATTCATTCATGTAGGAACATATATATGTCTAGGAGCAATAAGTGATTTCGCAACATTGCAAACCAAATTATATCTCGAACTCTATTGGAGCTACAATATGCCATTAATGATGTCAACTACTTAGTGTCCACTATGGCTTTCCTATTCTTCAACATATTTGCTTATTTCCTTCCTGCATCATCAGCATAGGTCAAAAACTGATGTGTCCCACTGAACACCAATCCTTCATTGTTTCTCGGACCTCCCAAATTGCATATATTAAAGCAAAGTTGACACCCAACAGCAAAAATGTATCACCCTGTTTTACAACATGCTAAATAGGAAACACATCAGACATGTTTCTACCTATACAGATTTTACTGTAGGTTTAATGTAAACACATTTTTAATAGCCTAACTAATTACATGGGTATATCGAAGTCAATGAGAATGTAAGTACTCCTCAATTTATGCAAGTGTGTTCTGAAGAAAAGTTTCATAGGGTGAAACCAAATAAATAAAACATTATTTCTCCTTCTAAACAAGCATTCCTCCTCCACCACCCACACATCTTCATGCATGTAATCAAATTCATGTTGGACAAATCCACGTTGTAGGAGGGTTTGCTTAATTCCAGTCTGCATTACACAATAACTTCATGTACATTCAATAGCTAACAGAAGTAAGTCTTCTACCTATTCAGAAACTGTTGCAGTCTGCATCAGAACACCACTCTCATCCTTTAACAAGTCTGTTTAGTTTGGTAATCTTTCTTAAATTCATCTGTGCTTCGATATAGGTACCTAATACTCATCTTTCTGCTTGTTCTAAGTGGTTTCTGTCTTCCACATATTCCCTTTTCTGTCCCTGAAATGTTTACTGGTGCCCTACACTTTATATAAACTGTTTTAATAGTTTATTCAATGATGGTGTCAGCAACCCAGACCATGCAGTGTACGACGATTGTAGGATTACGGAATAATGAAATGGAAACTGTGTGGAAAGAAACATTCATGGCCTAATTTACCTGGAGAAAACCATGACTAACCTCAACTAGCCTAATTTAAGACATTGGCCTGGCAACTACCTGAAGAAAACCACAACTAACCTCAACCAGGATAGTCGGTTTCTCGGCTGACATTCAAACTAGCCACCCAAAATTCAAGCAAAAAGCACTACCATTTGGGCCAGTTCATTTGGTGGTTGTGTGGTAAAGAAATTCTAAAGCCAAAAATATTGGTGACATTACCATCATGTTCCTAAAGACACCTGATCATCACTTCCATGCCATAAGACTTCACAGAATTAGGCAAATGCTCAGTGCTTTACTACAAAATTTTGCACAGATACAGATGCCAGTTACTGACATACAGTAATCACATACTGATCTAAATTTAAAAAAATAAATATTTCTGAACTTTTAATATTATGTGATGCACACCGTATGGCATTACTGTGTCAATGGTGGAACTCCTCATAATGTTTATATCAGCTTCAACAATACCAAACTCTTACCCAGTAATATGATGGGAACAAAGTTCAAATACATTTGGTTGGTAACATCTTGCAAACTAGACAAAATGTGTAGAGAATGCCAGTAATATCACAGGTAGGCCCCCTGCATCTCGACATGCATACCATGTGTCAACTAGATGAAATTATATTCCAAGACAGCTCACCTCCAGTGACGAGATAGCCCTCTTCATCTACTAGCTCCTTAAACTGCGATATGATGGAAAATGCAGATGGCTTCTTAGAACCAACAAAATATCCGGCACTCCTGTTACTCCGCTGCAAATCTAAATTATGTCTGTGTTTCCAATGAGAAAGCCACGAGTCTGACGCTTCAAAGCTCCCACCCTGACTGGTCAGCAAACCTGCCTCACTTCCTGAAGCTTTATTCTCATCAACAATTAAAGTAGCTCTTTCCTTCAACATTCTTGTCGTGACTGGTATACCAGCTATTCTTTGTGACTCATAAAATCTCACCAATGACACATCTAACATATCAGAGTACCGAGTACGCCGGGTCCGCTTTCGATCTGGCATTTCTTGCCATCTCTGGATAATGTCACTTTCACGGGACTTTATCCGTGATACTGCTGACTGTGATATTCCAAACTCAGATGCCACTTGGATCTGATTTCTAGTTTCTAAGGCCTCCAGCACCCTTACTTTCTGATCCAACGTAAGTTCATTTCGTTTTGCCATTCAAAAACTTCGTAGTAATTAATTATTACAGAGAAACGTAATTGGACAAGATTGCACCAAGAAATACAACAGATCAAAATACAAATATAACTGCAGAGCAGTTATACCTACAAGTTGTTGCGAATTATTTACGAAACGCACAATGAATATAATTTCCTAACGTTTTACGAAACATTGCACATTCATATAACTCGCATGCTAGCAATGTACAGGCCTGCCAAGTGCAACATAACCTAACCAACACACCAACGCTGAAACCTGAGTCCACTCAGCAACAAACTGCTATGAAATCAGATATGTCCTTCAATGCCTTATATATTCTTAATAATAGTTCGTATATGCTAATGAATACAGACTCCTGCTGCTCTCGTAAAGGAACTAAAAAATCAATGTCACCCGAATGACAACCATCTACGACCATCGACCCATTCGTTTTAACCCACAAGAAAAAGGATTGTTGACAGGTCAGACCTTACTGCAAAAGTCCTAATTTCAACTATGCACTAGTAAGACTATTCAGCAAACTTATTTAATACGTACTCCACTCAAACAGAAAGACAGACCATTATCACAATGGAATACTTGCACTCAGTAATACCAACCTCATAAATAAGTATCTCTTAAGAATCACATTCCTTAAAGTCACTCTAATCAGCTGCCTAAAGTAACTTGTCTTCTTGTTATGGACAATATGTCTACTTTTCGAAAACTCTAAAGTTAAAGTATGCATACGAAGGCGATTCAATCACGTGCACCGTTGATAAAAATTCCCAGTGCTAAAGCCGTTCATGACTTCATACGTAACGTAAATGTTGGCCATGCTTCCTCCGGAGTTAAACGTCACAACATGCTTCTATATTTACAAATAAAAAAAAACGAAAACTCATGAAAATTGAGTGAAAACAGATTAGTGTCTTGATAAGACACGAAAAATGATCCCACCAAAACACACTTACGGTGGCCTGTAACAAGGCCGAACATAGCCTAGTTCGGCTAACGGAATAAATAGCTCTGTATTTCCGTAAATTAATACTACACCACGTGATATCACACTGTCATCATTTACGTTCAAACTTCACTTTCGGATATTTAAAAGAAACCGAACACCTTGCACAGCACCTTAAGACAGGCCAGAAACAACTGTCTTGACAAGCTTGCTTCATTTTCAGGGTAGATGGGTACGCTAAAGATGGAAACATCACGTTCCACTGAAACGTCGGTAACGATCTACCCGACTACATGGCGTCACATTCGAGAAGACAACAGTCTCATACTCTAGTCACCAGTCGCGAGATCCTCAAAGAGCGCACGCATCTTGACAAGATTTAAGCCTTTCACAGTGGCAAATATTTAGATTGTGATTTTATGGGTTATGCACTGTGGCCCTGTATGTGCATAAATAATTCGAAGGAATACGTTAGCTCCATCTTCAGGGAGTTGGTAGCCAACTACCAGACTATAATGTCATAATACAGACGACCATAAATTAAAGAGGACATATTATGACCTACTTGCTAAGTAATCTCAGGTCAGTTCGTATGTTTGTGGACAAAGTGGAACTGCGGTTAGTTCTCTGGAAGTACTTTGGTCTTCCCCTCTAATTATCATAAAAAACGCTCAATTTTCTCATCTACCATCCAAGGCTGGCACATGGGCCATTCACGGCCTAAGTGCCAAAGGGACTTGCATTCGACATGTGCTCGGTTTGAATCTCGACAGGAGCACCGGCTATTTAATGTCTCTCAGCCTCTCTGTAGAATTACGGGATAATACCTTAGATTAGACCACGACCGCTTCCTTCTACATACTTTCTAATACTCCATCCACCAATCATTCTACCATCCGACGCTGTACAGACGGAACAAAGAACTACACAATTACAAATTACTGTTTCAAGAACACAGATAAAACGAACTAAGTCCATGAAGCAGAGTTCTTCTTGAGAAGGTAACAGTTGCCCAGCTAGTAAGGAAATTCCCGCACATGTTAACGCCGAGGTTCATTACAATGTTCACAACACATACGAAACAATCACAAATTTTCTTGCCTTTATAAGATCTTCCATGAGAATTCGATCAATTGTGTGACAGACAGGAATTGAACCAACGGCTGCGTGCGGCCGCCCCATAGCTCAAGCGGTTAGTCGCTAGCTTCCCACCGCGGCGGCCCGGGTTCGATCCCGGGGTCTGTTCAAATGGGATTTGTGGTAGACAAAGTGGCGCTGGGCGGGTTTTCTCCGAGTACTTCGGTTTCCCCTGCCAATCTTCATTCCACCAAATTATCCACCATCATTATCACCCGGAGCAGGCTACAATAGGCCAATCAGTGGCCGCCGTGCCGAGTGGACCCAGCTGGACTCCACCCCCCACTAAGCGAATTAATTAAAACGGCTGCGTTACAGTCAATCTTTCATGCCGGCATCATTCTCTCCAATAAGTGTAGAAACCACTGACAAAACGATGCAGCTTATTATGTCTTCGCGAAGAAGGACTGGGGGGAGGGGGAGAGGAGGATTCATTTTCGGACGGTCATACTTTTTGCTCAGTTCACTTTACCTTTTCCCTTGTAACAAAACCGATACACGTCGAAATGACCCCTAATTTATATTACTTCAACTGATGTGTAGGGGTGCACGAGGTAGCGTAGTTGGTTGAGGCACTATGCTACAAGCTGGAATGTTGCGGATTCGATTCCCGAATGAGGTCATTGGATTTTTCAATTGACCTAATCCTTCCAGCCGCACTGTGACCCTGGGGTCGACTCAGCCCTTAACAGAAATGAGTATCAAGAACCTTCCTTGGGTGAAGGGCAGCCGGCCGGCCGGCCGGCGCGTAAGGCTAACAACCTCACCGCCATCTGTGAGCCGTTACCTAGAAAATATGGAGCCTCACGTCTCAGAACCCTATTGGCTTCCAGGGCCTTTTAACAGGGATGGTTTTTACCTTTGCGGTTGTGTAGCATTTCCAGCTGTTCAGGTTAACTACATATGAACACCTGCTTCAGTTCAAAATGTTCAGCCCTCACCGTTTAGCCCATTCATTTATTCTTGGTTTCTTTAACGACGCTCCCCATAGCTCAGGGTAATTAGCGAATAATGAACTTGATATGTAAGTTTTGAGGTTTTCACGGCGATGACTACGAAGAAAGTCGTCTTCTGGGATCTGGCGCCGTGTATTCTTCGTTTTAACCGACGTTTCGGAGGAACATATTGCCTCCATCTCCAGGGTAGTTGAGTAGTTGAGACAGCTGTAGCAGCTGCTACAGCTATCTCTATTCGCACGCAACTCAACTACCCTGGAGATGGAGGCGATATGTTCCTCCGAAACGTCGGTTAAAACGAAGAATACACGGCGCCAGATCCCAGAAGACGACTTTCTTCAATGAACTTGATAGGTTGCAGAAGAAATAGGCCGTGGCATAATTTGACAAACTATAGCAACATCTCCTTGGAGACAATACGAAAAACTATGAAAATCCTCAATATGCACATTCCATCCCGGGGACGGAATATGAATCGGTGTGTGCCTCATATAATGCGGAGGCATTAACCTCTCGAGCACGTTTGGTTGTGCAGCAAGACTGTGCAACGAACATCAACATCGGCCGACCTGCTCATGACGCTATTAATTTGGCCACCGATGGAGAAGTGTAACGACGGGTGCCACAATTTAAAGAGTAAAAATCTCATGTTTTAGTCTTACACGCCCAAAACTTTCAGTTGGCCTTTTAAGAAAGATATTCTTGTGATTTCGCAGTACAGTTCAAGTAAATTACTGCAGGCCAGTGAAAAGTCTGTTTAAAGCCGTTACATCAAATTCGAAAATTGTGCTCTTCCAAATTCCAAACAAAACTCTGGCTTCATTAAGTCCTGAAGTCGCATTTCAAATAATTCTTATCAAAAAGAAACCTTCAAAATAGTATGTATGAGTTGATCAACAAATGTTAAATAAAGCCACTTCAATACTAGTGGGGGTGGGGGGAAGATGCTGGTAAAATGTTCCATGCTTTTGTCACTTCAACTTCACATTTTCCGGTGCAAAAACCTTCTAATATTTTAAGATTACATTTCTTCAATAGGCTACCATTCTTAGCTCAACAAACTATTCACATCAAACTGAGGTAACCTGAAATTTAATTAATTCCACTTCAAAATTAGTTAAATCAGCTTAATCGAACACTTCGAGCTTCAAATTTTCCAGATGTATAGCTTCGGGACACTTCTAGATGCATACAATCCGCAAACCTTCCTTCATTGGGGTACACAGAAAGCCCACCTACTCTGCAACCAGGATGCGCCATGCTTTGTGCAGGCAACCTTACGGAATCAAACGTGCTGTGACAAGTAAGTTAAAGGTTCCTATCACAGTACGAATAACGGAAATAGAGAGTGATTCTAAATTATTGTTAGGTTTCCTTGGCTTTCTCTTGAACAGTTGCCATTTTGAGGTATGATGTCATATTTTCTCCCAGACATCAATGCGGCGAGTACAGTGTTTCCAAACAAAACTTTACTGTTTCGAAACCACTATTATAATGGGTGTCCTGAATGTTAAAATATATAATACATACAATGTTTACAATGCAAAAATAGATACAAAATCCGAAGTTTTCACAGCTACAGCGGATGTTTTCATATATAAATTTTTTTAAAGACTTTTGTTATTTAGTTAGAATTTATAAACCAAATAGGTTCGTGTCCTCTCTTCTATCGCCTCTCCTGACGGGGGCCGAACTTGTGCCGCCTGTCTTTCTTAAGAAGAAGATTCTTTGATGTCCTTAAAAACAACACAGCGCGCCACAAGTTCGGCCCCCGTCAGGAGAGGCGATAGAAGAGAGGACACGAACCTATTTGGTTTATAAATTCTAACTAAATAACAAAAGTCTTTTAAAAAAATTAATATATCAAGGCAGCCGCTGTAATTGTGAAAACTTTGGATTTTGTATCTATTTGTATATTGTAAACATTGTATGTATATACATTTTAACATTCAGAACACCCGCTGTAATAGTGGTTTCCAAACTGTATCGATGTCCCTCTGATGATGGTCTCTAAGGACCGAAACATGTCAGGGCGTTAAGAATTGAAGTAAGAAAAACTTCACCAGTCACACTGGACGGAATTGTTTTATCTTTTATAATATTGTTAGTGTGACGGACAAGAATGAAACAAATAAAAAACATTTTAGTTACACTTTCATATTCCGTAAGCGGTTTTATTTTGTTTTCCTGGTTTGAAAATTACAGGCCACGGAAACAAACGACAATAATTTAGAATCACATTTTATATTGGAAACGTATTCCACTTACTGGGATTTCAGGGTCTCACGGCGGTGATTATGAATAGTACGATCTCCTGGGTTGCAACACCGGGT